TTGTGGTGTCTTCTGAAATGTGCTCTATCGACGTGAAAGTTACGAACATGATAAATATCATAAGATTTATGTTGAGTCGAAAGTGACAAGAAAGGAGTTAAGAAAAAACTAGTCATTCTTCTTGCGTTTTTTTACTTTTCAGTATCTGTTGATGGTTGTTTGAACGTTTCATGCTAGAGAAATGATTATTTTTGCTCATGCTTGCCTATTGTGGGCAATTCAGCATTCTGGCTATGTGTCGATGATAATCATCGGCTGTAATAAGTGTACATTATTTGAGATGCAGTGAATAATTATATTTTCCGCGATTTCGTAGTCTTGAAATTCTGAATATGTGAAAGGAATTATTTGAAGTTTTCTCTTGGCTCAAAACTTGAGATTCGAGCACTTTCTTTGAATGTTCCAGCCGAGTCAGTCTGCCACCGAAAGTAACACCACATATGTAGATCACTTCACCACAAGGCGGTTGACACAACTCGACCGGTGTGCTTGCAAGAGTTCGCCAAAATTGTCTGCTATAGTATTATCAAAGCCGCGTCAGAACATCGCCCGCCCGCAAATTGCGCGTCTAACATCGCGAAAGATCGAAGAATTATTGTGGGATAGTTTAATTCGCCCACCGTTCTGCCTAAATGCTGCTCCAAGTGATTACCATCTCTTCAAGTCGCTGCAATATTCTTTGCTAGAAAAACGCACTGCCAAAGTCGATGATGTGCACCTGTCCGAGTATTTCTTTTTTGAATTTATTCTGAGTGCAAAGAATCTATAGTCTAGTTTAATTTCTGCCAAAGGTAAACGTGAAGTTTGTATAATCACACCTGTTGTCGCCGGCGCATATTCAGGCAGGACGTGGATTTGCATTGATGATATGCATCATATAATAGCGCGTTATACGTGTTGTGGCTGTTTATCATTATCAGTAAATGTAATTCATATTTTCTGCTCATTCTCGGTGACATCATCCATATTTTGATTTTGGATTCTTTTCGATTATCCGGGGACAGATGAATGAGCGACCTCTTTATTGGACAAGGATTTCTTAATGCATTGTTGGTGTCGTTTGAAAATGTACAAATCTGACTGCACTGTTTGGTTGTTTTACAAAAAGTTTTTTTTCGTTTTTCTTATTAAGAGGGGACAAATGAAAAAGTGGCCTTAATCGCTGGGAGGAAGACTTCATCGGAGTGCTAGTAACCATGCAAAAGCTGAGACTTGAGGCTACAGCCCGACGTTGTCGGTTTTTCAAAACCCCCCTTTATAACGCTGTAGCATCCAGATAAATATTTATGTTTCACACTCGCTTTTCGTCTTCATTTTTATCACACGTAAGATTCGCTTTAGCTGGAGAGCATAACATTGTGTAGAGGAGTTTTTTGTAGTATATTGTTAAATCGTTTTATCTGGAGTTCCAGTCAAAGCGGAGTGAAAATCCCCGGCTGAATAACATTATATCGGATCGTCCTGATCTGCTCGCCCCTGCCACTGCCTTCCCCTTGTCGAAAATCAGTAACAACGCTGCAAAAAAAATGTAAAACTTGATATTAATGTTCCTGCTAAACCGCATTTTTAGAAAACAAGCACATCGCTAGCTATAGAAAACATTACTCTTTCAGATGATTACTATTAGTCTAAAAAAGATTGCTGCACGGCTAGGTTCGAAGCAAAACTAAAAAAAACCTAGAAAGATCGAAAGATCAAAAAAGCTCAAAAAAGAAATTTTTTGAGTTGCTTGAAGTTTCTGCTATAGTTTGAATACTAGCACCTTAAGGAAGAAGTTTTGTCAAGCGAAATATAATCGAGATAAGAGACAAAAACATTAGGTTTTATGGAACGATTTTGATTTGATTGTTGTGGCTCTATGAAGAGATGTTTAAGAAAACCGGCGATAAGGGTTTGTAACCTCAAATCTCAGCTTTCGAATTGTTATTAAAACAAGAGTTTCTCTGAAGCGAATAACATTGGTTTTACATTCGTCCTTTCTAATCAGAAAAAACCGCCTTTCTTATAACGCTGTAGTAGGAAGAAAACTATGTGTTGCACACACACCACACACACACACACACACACACACACAACACACACACACACACACACACACACACACACACACACACACACACACACACACACACACACACACACACACACACACACACACACGCACACACGCACACACGCACCTATTTCTCACACTGCATATTGTTAGTAACCCCTCGATAGCGTAAGTTTCGTACATTCCAATGATGAGCTTATTTCGTGAAAGGTCATTTCATTGCAGTGTAGCAAGAAAAATAAGATTGAGTTTCACATACATGGCGCATGTATGTAGGCCAATATGTGGAGGAGAGAGGCGGGAGGGGAGGGAGCTGGCCTTGGATTCCACACGGTGATCGATCGATCGCGCTGGCACTACTCGCATCTGGAGAGCAATTTTGTTATTTAACTTAGCATCTTTCCTCTTAGAAATTATTCTAAATGAAACAAATGGCACTAATACTTCAAGATTTCTTTGGCACGTTCATAAGCTTTTTGTGCTTCCAGCGAAGCCATAGCGAAAACAAGTGGAGAGTGGAAGACGTGATTCAACTCAAATGTTAAAGCTTTTTTGAACTTTTCGTGACCTACTACCCAAACTTCAGCTTCCAGCTGTAAAGTACAACCCAAACTTCAGCTTCCAGCTGTAAAGTACAAAAGAGATTCCTTCATCGTAGCTAAAGACAGGATTCTCTATGATAGGCAGTCCGTCATTGTGGCCATGGAATAAATTCGGTGATAAACTATTCTTGTGATTTTCTAAGCGCAAATAACAGATGTGCGCTGAAAACGTGCCAAAATATCTGTCGCAGATAATTCATCGGTGAGGTTGAAATCGAACAGCAATCGCAGAAAATGAATAAATGAGTACCTTTTTTTGTAAAAAAAAAACATGTACCCCATGGCACCCACAGAATTTTAACCATACTGGGTGGCGAACCAAAGAGTGAGAACGAATCACACTGTAGGAAGGTGAACAAGAGATCAAGCTGGTATAAGTCGGATAGTCTACTGGAATACTGATTGTCGAGCGAGCTGATCGCCTACCAACTTCCCGGTCAACCCATTGTCAGAATGTTCATCATGGCACACCGAATGAGAATCTTCTTTTTTTCCTATGAAACGAACCTCATCTATGACTAACTAAACTGCTTATTTGCAACATTAGTAATATAGTATTAACGACGTAGCAAAGACAAGACTTTCGGTGTGAGAAATATAAACACCAGCGTGTTAAGTAACTATTGATGACATAGAAAACATAATACAGATAATCATAAGGAAGTTATTACCAACAAATATAAAGCTTGTATGATGAAATGATATAAATTTTTGCCAAGCATCCACAAATCAGTGACATCAGCACATAATGTAAGTGTACGGTAAACAAAGAGCGTTCTATACAATAATTTCGTCCAGTGTAATTTTAAGATTTTTAAGGGACTCTTATAATCGGAGAAATTTTCTCAAGGCGACGACGAAACAGGCTGTAAATTACAGCATTTGGTAAAATTAAGCGTCTTGGTGTTGGTGGTGCAATAGCTTCGCACTGGTAGAATGCACGCCTGCAATGCGAGCAATCCAGATTCGGTTCCTGGCCGATGCACTAGAATCGTTGCAATACTTTAGTGGATTGTGAGAGTTGCTGAAAGCGCAGTTCGTCAAGGTGGCTTTAGAGAGCTAGCGTGGACAATCAAACCTCTACATGCAAAACAAGGTTATCAGAGCAACGACAAGTAAACGACGATGAGGAAGCGTATCTGCCAGTAATGTGTATGTAATGCTATGAGTAGCTTTATGAGGATGCGGCAAAGAGGGAACTATGATAATGAGTGAACTACAGTGTATGGTGAGCTACGGTGGTGAGTGAGCTGCCGTGGAGAAAGTGAGCTAGGTTGAAGGAATTTGTCACACTGTGCTAGGTGACGTATTGAAGACTTCGTAGTTTCTGGAAGCTCGTCTCGAAGAACTTGGCGTCATAGTTGGTCTCGATGACCGTGGCGGCCTCATTTCTTATGAGCATTGAATTCCGATTGGCCTGGTACTGTACAAGGCAGGTTATATTTTGTGGGAGGCGAGATCGCGTGCCCTCTGCTGACGAAGTAGCTGAGTTACGCTCGTTCGCCACTGCAATCATACTGGTAACATTAAGCCATTTCGTAGGTTTAATCACTACAGAAATAAACACTAGATTTATTGACCAGAAGAGATTAGAAATTGCTTTATATCACTGCTCAAAGTATGCGCCACCGGCCTGAACACAATTCATCCATATCTCAGCAATAAAGCAATATCGTGCTCACAGAAGTCGACATATCTAAATTTGAAAAAAGTTGGCAATCGTCGACGCAAATAATTGATGCCTCAAAACTCCTCTTAGCTCAAGAAGTGCTCCAGCGACCGGAGGAGGTAGATAACTAGACACTGTGAGTGCCACTGAATTTCAGAAAACTTTGTTCGAGAACCCGCCCAGTAATACGTAAATTTCTTAATGTGGTTGTAATTTAGGCCCACGTCTGTGCTGCATAACAGAGCATTGGGATGGCAGTTAAACCCAAGAGGTAAGCACAGACTCAACAGTTTGCTATTTAGTTGACGGCTTCCTCAAAAGTCTTAAGAGGATCTATGCTGTTCTTCTTCTCCTATCCAATCTTACATCGCAGAGTAAAAATGAACGCTCTCGATTAGACATTTGCTTAAAGTACTTTGGAAGGCTAGATGACTTAGAGCTTGATAAATTAGAATGCGACTCATTGAGCTTAGATAAAACTGACAATCGTAGCACTCGACTGAAAATTTTGATCTATTTCGTTGAAAGAAAAATATCGGCTAGAAAATCACTTCGCTGCATTATGTCATTGACTCCTAGATATGTCATTCAGCGAGAAATCATTTTTATTCACCGCCTTTTGTGGTGTCACGATGTTTCAGTTCGCCCAATAATGTAGAGTGCTGTGCAAATCGTTTGCGTCAGCCAAGATTCAAACCCAGATCTCACTCTCCTCGGGAGCGCATGCTAACCGTTGCACCATCGACGCTCGTTTCGGACAGCACTCTTTCTATGCAAAGAGTGAGATCTTGGCTCGAATTCCTGCTGACCAAAAGGTTTCTGCACAGCACTCTACAATATTGGGTATGTTAAAAGTTAGTCTCTACTGGATTGTATGCCCCATATCGCAGAAAGAGAAATTGAGGACTAAGGACCTCGATGGAGGAGTGATAGCACAAACCACTAGGTGAAATGCGGTTTAACTCATACCTGAGTTTAGAGAAAGATGGGCCGTTGAGAGCAATTTTACAGGTGTAGATGTAATACAATCGTACACACATAAAAACTACTGGCTAAAACTGACTGGAAAGGTCGCTGAAACCTTTTTCGGGTCTCCAAGATTGCGTCTCATAACAACGCTCTTCTCCATAAAATTATATCGATTTGTAATTCTGATGATCACCTCATGTACATTTAATATGTTGTTACACTTAAAACATCATTTAGTTTCGCATTCGGGACCGTATCGGTAGCGCAGCGCAATTTATATGTGACAATCTTGAGATTTTCAACTTAAATCTTTTGTGATTTGTGTTGTCGAAGCAGTGCTTAATTTTTAAGGAAAAGCGTTGCTCTTCCCATTGCGAAACTACATTAATTGGAGGTGCTACTCAGACAGAAAGATTTGTTGATTGATATTTTGATGCCCCACTGGAACTTCGCACTGTAACAATGTGAAAATTTGTGATGGAAAAAAAAACTCCGTGCCTTGTTTAATTTTCCTCGACATCAGGGTACATAAAAGCGTTATTTAGGCAGGAATTTATACATGTAAGCACTTGAGAATGCGTAGATTTATGGATGATGTCACAATTTTTCCTGAAAGACAGAATCTTACACTCTTTATATCAGAGTGCAGATGTCATTTCGATAAAACACGCCATTCATTTTCAAAGCAAAGCAAATTCTTTGAATACAAATAATAAACTGAAATTCATAATACCTTTGGCTAAATTGAGCAGTTATTCTGTTGGTACATATACTCTTCTAACGGATTATTTACGCTTAGTAACTTTATTGTCAACTACTTATTGAATTGATTGCAAGCAATTTTCATGAATATACGTACAGAAACAATGCAACTATAAAGACTCTGGAAACTACTACACCGAGAAAAATCTACGGTGTGAGCAAGCGCTGTAATACAATTTTTCCATAAATCATATCTTATAGCAAGTGGGTTTTACTAGTCTCTGACCATTTCAGTACCACATGTACTGCTCATGGTACACGCACGTTTTTGTGGATTTCTCGGCGATAGATTTTCGTTGAACTTCAAGTAGTCATTCGATAGTTGGAAAAATTGCGATTTTGATGCTATTTTTTTCCTTCTAAAAGCACTTTTCCGCCTGAGCTGTAGCAACAAAGAAAGTATTTTTTTCTTCAGAGTGTACAGTGTGATTCACACTCGTGCTTACATAGTCTTTTCACACAACTAAGAATTTTCACCAAAGTTTTGATAATTATTCGACAGCTCGAGAAGCAGTGATATCAAATATAAACTTAGTTTCAAATTTAAGTAGCAAATGTAGGTTGTAAATGAACTGCAAAAACGATGAACAAATGCTGCTTTTCGCTTCCGGAATGCTTTGCGTGGCTTCACTGTCGTTCATGCTTGGTCCTACAATAGAGTCTTCACCACCCTTTGACAGTTCAAAAGGTGTAGATTCTGGAAAATAGTTTGCTTTTTTCGAACTGATTCTTTAGTGCGCCGTAGCAAGAGATCGCATTTCACTCTTTGTGTGAACGGCCCATTTCTTGAACTTCGCTGTGGGTGTACTGGTAATTGTGTAGTGAAATCAGTACGCTGGAAACAACTGATGATTACAGAGAGTGATATGCTACTAAAGGCCTTCTATAAAAGTTTTTTTCTGCAAAAAGAACAGCCACGTGTCTTATACATATCCAGTATCCATCAAAAGGAAAATATCGCATCTCCATATCTTACTCCTTATTTTTTATCGATAGGTAATAGTGTAAAATGGAAACAAATTTGTTGCAATGTATAACTTTTTCAAGAAGCTTTAGGAAGTAATTATTAGTACGCAGTCGGAACAAGCTTTCATAAAACCCACAATCACCAATTTATGCAGTACTGTTTTGAAGAAATTGCGCATTTCTCACCCAAATTTTACAGATTTACCATTGATGCTATAAACCTTTAGGTTAAGACGTGTTCAAAATATCTAATCAACAAGCAATACTTTGTGCAACAAGCATTGGATCATTAGCAGTTCACCATAAATATCAGTGCCGGTCAACCTTCACTCGCGCTGCATAGTACTTTGCTTGTTACATTCAAATTATGCATTCTATAACAACAAACATCAAATCGTGAAATAATCAGTTTTTTAATTCATCATTGTCTACATTATTATACAGCATGGTTTTCCGACCTAATGCACTACTTGTCGGATGTCAAAAAGCCTAAGAGCATATCTCCAATGAGCAGTGTCGAAACAACGTGGACAAACGTACTGCTTACATAAACTGCACTTCGTGCTTACTCGTTTTGCTTTGTTTCGAGCATGAGCAGTGCTTAGACGTATTACCAATTTTCTATAACATCCAACACAACGTCCATAACGTGGTAAAGTGACTTCAAAAACATACGTGGGTGTCGGCTGTGGAGCTATATTACCTGTGACTTTGCTGGGATGGGATTGCCAAAATATGATTTTTTTTTTGAAGGGTACCATTGATTTTTCGATGCAGACATTCTTCCCTGGTCTACATACAACTTGGCAAATCGTATTGACAAGTATTTGGAAGTTTTTACTTTTGTGTAGTCTATTCTTTCCATCCCACCTGGAATTATCGACAGAATGCAAATGTTTCATAACCTTCGAAAATTTACGCCTGGGCATGAAATCTGCTCCTCAGAATGGTTCCCAGAAGAGAGATGACAGCTCCAATAATTTTTCAGCAGCGGTAGTTTCTCAACGCTCATTTGCATACACACATCTATGAATGTCTTCGTTTCTCCCACTCCTTCTTCCTTCGTTCTTGCTTTCTTTCTCCATATAATTGCCTTGCCCAGAATATGCAATGCCTATTGTATGTTTTAGCTAAGTGAAATCATCATATTTTGTAAACTTGATACAGCAGGAATCCAGCGCATCGTCGAAGTATCAGGCTACGATTGTTATGAAAGAATAGATCTCTACACCTAGACTATAAATAAACTTGGATTTGCTAAAACAATGATTACACGGATAGTCTGCTTTAATTACCTCTTCTCCTGAATACATTTGACCCTTCTTGCACAAACTCTTTTATAATCCATAAGTTTTTATCCTCTTCGTGTGAATCAACTATAACTTGTCTGCTCTGAACTTTTAGTTACTGTAAGAATTATTGATGAGCTGGCATCGCATTCATTGTGCAACGGCTCTTTTTTGACATGCTATGCATCGATTTCGATTTTAAGCCACTGTTATTACTCCTAAGTATCGTTTATAATAAAATATATCAAAAGTGATAAATTCATATCATTATTTTCTTTGTACATCTTCTTACGATTACCAAAATGCCACCATTACTGTGACAAAAGTATACGAGTGTCTAGAGAAGATTTTAATCTATCGAATTTTTGCATAGAACCCCAGACTTTTATCCAAAACGGTGAAAAAACTCCAATCAAATACCAAAAATCGCACACCGGGGCTGCGATTTGTACTGGGAGTGGCGATTACAACTGGTGGTCCTGAAGGGTTTCATGACATTCATGCTGCTCGAAATCGTTGTCAGCACGAATTGTTGCCATTTTTTTCCAGCACGCTGTAAAAAAAAGCCGTAGCGCAGTGATGCTGAATTGATCTCATGATCAGAAATGCATACTATCCACCACAGCTTGCGCTTTTAATAAAACGATTTTGATTTTTTTGGAACTTTAGAGATGACCAGTACTTGCAGCATCGATTGAATTCAAAAATCGTGTATTCTCCAATATAGTTGTCTCACGTCGCCTTTACTCATACTCAAGTGGAAATCTAAAAGGAAACAGGTGAGACTTGAAAATCGAAATAAAGATGATAAAAACAGGAGAACGTCTTATCTAATAGAACGAGAATGCTACTTTGTGATTGACCACGGTAATCTTCCACTCAGTGGACTTGTTAACGACTTCGATTGCAAGTCAATTCTATAGTCTTTATCTGAACTGTACATTGATAGCAGAATTGAAATTTTTCATATTATCAGAATTATCAGATCAAAATATCAGATTATATTTCTGTTCACATCGAAAACCTTGGATGTGACGCGATCAGTCGAGAAAGCAGGTTTTCTAAAGAGATCTCGCTCTATGGATCACACTCAAACCATATCGAGGGTCATAAAGTCTGTCAAAGATATCACCCTGCCTTAATCCTAACTTTTGACGACGATAAAATACCGTAGTTAGCCGCAAAATAGCATTATCGTTGGATTAGATGATAGGTACTCCCACCTTCGTCGTTTTTGCCGCGTATTTCTATCTTTCGCTCTCAGCTGCGCTCTTTTAGATCTTCATTCATGGATAAGCATAGAGAAGATGTTTGATTTGTAGAGCCAAGTTGACGATCCGAAAAGAAACCAAGCATCTTTACCGTTTCTACAGAGACCACAAAGAGTATGATTTTTCGCAAAAACCTTAAGTCGTAAAGGGCAACATCTACTGGTCAACAGTTACCTTACCCTCACTGCACTTCTGTTTTTTTGAAACGTAGCAGAAAAAATGGCAGCAACTCTCGCTGACAAGGATTTAGTGATAAGCATTAGTGTGTGGTCTAATGACAGATAATTATCTAATTTTGATTTAAAAGAATGTTCATTTGTGATGTCTGCTTTCAGCACTGATTGCACTTTTCACGACACCCTCGATAATTCCGGCAGTGGTTAGATCTGGATACCGCTTCATGATAATGGTTTGCAGTTATTTCAATTAACTCTAGTTATAAAGTTATTAATCTCAATTTGTTTGCGAGAGAAATTCACATCCTAATGGAA